CAAGTCTTTTATGCACTTTGTCAATTAAGCTGCTATAAGTCCTTTTATCAACTCGAGAATGCAGTAAAGGCATGCCCAGGTACCTTCCAAGATCTTCAGTTAGAGGAGAGCCACAAATACAACTGATTTCCTTAGCTATCTCCTTACAGGTGTTAGGAGAACAAAAGATAGCAGATTTATCAAAATTTACTGTTTGGCCAGAGGCTTGACAAAAAACCACCAAGCAATTCTTCATAACTCTAGCTTGATTAGAGGTAGCTTCAGCAAACAAAACTAGATCATCAGCAAAAAAGAGGTGAGAGACAGTTGGGCCAGCTTGAGAGGACTTAACAGGTCTCCATTTACCCATTCGAACATCCTCAAAAATAAGATGGGACAACTTTTCAATACACAACACAAACAAATAAGGAGACAAAGGGTCCCCTTGTCTAATACCGCTCTTAGGTTGGAAAGAATCAGTGAGCTCTCCATTGATGCATATTTGATACTTCAGAGTAGACACACAACTCATGATCAACTTAATTAGATTGAGAGGCAGACCCAACTCCACAAGCACATGCTCAATAAAATTCCAATTTAGACGGTCATAAGCCTTAGAAAGATCAATTTTCCAAGCCATGAAACCTTTTTTACCCTTTGACAATTTAAACTTATTCATCAATTCTTGAGCAATAAGAATATTATCTGTAATATGTCTACCAGGAACAAAACTAACTTGATTAGGGCTTATGAGATTGGGCAAGATAGTTCTGAGCCTCGCAACAATAACCTTGGATATCACTTTATACAAAGTAGAACACAAGCTGATAGGGCGAAACTGCACCATTGACAAAGGGCTTTCCACCTTAGGCACTAGAGTAATAAGAGTCATATTAAGCTTCTCAGGAATTGTACACTCATGAAAAGCCTTTAGCTGTGGATTATTTTTCAAACTTGTTCTCTAATGATTATATGGTGGACTCTGAGATTGGTTTTCCTAATTTGTTTCCTGACATAGATGTGGATGATTTGAGGCTTTTAAATAGACCTGTTGCTTTGGAGGAAGTTAAAGCTAGTCTGTTTAATATTGGAGGGCTAAAAGCCCCTGGGATAGATGGTTTTCCTGCTTGTTTTTCTCTTTCCTTTTTTGCTTTCTTTCTTTCTGAGGCTTGTTTTTTTATTTTCTTGTTTGGTTTTGTTGGAGGATTTGGGGTTTGATGTGTGTGTAGGGGAGAGAAATCGCAGGGGGTGGCGGCGGCATGGGTTGAGTTGTTTTGTGTTCCTCTCCTCTCACTCATACAAATTGATTTTTGTATTTATGTCAACTGTTTTTGTGTTCCTCCCAAGAATTCATTCCCAAATGGGTGGAAGGGAAAGGTGGGGTTTATGCAGTTGGGTTCACAAGGAGAGGACTATCTGGAGCCTCATTAGATGCCATGGGAGTCTCACAGGACATTGCCAAGAGCTGGAAAGAAGAGACCAAGGCAAAAAGATGAAATGGGGGAAAGAAGAAATGCATTTGGGGTTGGGGGAACAAATCTGGGTGAGAAATCGCGCCCAGGGGAGGGGGGAAGAAATCAGGGTGGATGGGGGGAAATAAGAAATTGGGGGGGCGGGGGAGAAGAAGAAATCGG